AGCGGCTATACAATATTATTTTTCTTTAATATACTTTGTATCGTCTTGTACGGTAAGATAAAATCAAGATTAAAGAACGAGAAGGCAAAACAAAAACAAAATAAAAATAAAACAACCCAAGAATTGTATGACGGAAGGAAATCATACTCCTTAAGATATTCAGAAATCTTGCATGCTTATGTTCTTAAGATTTTTAGTTTCTCCATGTCTTAATTATTTCCATCATTTGTGATAGAAATTTTATTTCACTTATAAAAAGCACAGTCCAATACACTAAGCTCCCGCTATATATGGAGCCTAGGGAAAGACCAGACCATATATTGAATTTGATGTATGCAGTCTTGTCTTGCATTTCTTGAACTCGTAACATCTTGATCACTAAGCGGCACCTTTTATGTTCACTTAATTACTTGTAACCAAAAAGTTTCTGTCGGCGTACAGATTTGGTATAAAATAAACTTTGAGTAATGAAAAATATTTGAGTGTGAAAAAAAAAGTTGTAATTATAATCGCTTTTACCTATTTGTTGAAATTTGAACAATGACAAATATTTTAAGGACAATACTTTAACTTGAAACATAATCATATAATAGCAATAATAAATACGTGGTAAAATAAATTGTGAAACGGTCGGATGATACCACTAACTAATAAGAGTGTCACCGTCGCTAATAAGTTCAAGCCGTAAAACCAACCTCTTACAGAAATATAAGATAAGACTATGCACAATAGATTCAGTGTGGTTCAACTATTTTTTTCGACCCGCCCATGGCAGGAGCTTAGTATACAGTGTTACGCTCATTTTCTCAGATATTACCACCAAACTTGATGCAGCTCAAGCTCTTGGCTATTTCCTTTTGCTTAACTCAGAGCATACTGCTGTCTTTTCTGTGATTGAGGAATGTTAAAAAATAGCCATAGTTTGGTCAGTGCTTCTGTATGTTACAATGAAGAGGTGAAAGAAGAGAGTCTAAATGGCATTGCTGAGATTTCTGCTGAATTGCAAAAGGAGAGGCAGAAAAATAAAGAGCTAATGGACAGAATATCAGTTCTTGAATCGCAGATACAAGAAAAACATAAGGACTTGGAGCTCTCAAATGGAGAAGTATGATTGCTCATAATTAATTAGCTATATGAATGTTATGTGATTCCCAAAATAATAACTGCTAATGGTTTTTACTTGCCTTCTAATCATCTGTTTTGCCTGGAATATATTTGGCTTCGATTGGTGGCTTTTAGTCTTGGTTCCTATTCATTTATTTTGGACTCTTGCCTCATTTACCTTAGATTGTAGTGTCTCTGTTCTGTTGTGATTGATTATGCATGCTTGCCTTTGAGTCGAAGGTCTATCGAAAACAGCCTCTCTGTCTGCACAAGGTAGAGGTAAGGCTGTGTACACTACCCTCCCCACACCCTACTTGTGGGATTATACCGTGTATGTTGTCGTTATTCTTTGAAGACTTAATCTTGAATGAGCTGATTTCAAGTGTAAATAAAATAAAAGTTCAACCTTGAGTTTCCCTCTGAGCATGTTCAACAGAATTTCAACATTGTTACGCGAAGTTGATAAGTAGAATTTTATAATCTATGTATATGTGCAACTTGAGAGATTTATTCATACTACAGAACTGTTCTTGTGAACTTTTTAATACATGTAAAAGTATGCAGTGTGCTCAAAGAAAACAAAATACATCATCTGTTCGAACCATCTAATAATTGGAAGAGTAAATTTTCATTCTAAATACACTCCATGCTTATGTTACCTTTCTCTTAATCACAGGCCAGTTGTCAAAGTATGGGGGAAAGGCATTTCAGAAAGCTCAAAAGACAAAAAATGGACTCAGAAGTGAAGGATCATACTGAAATCTTTCTAAACAAAGATGTTAATACAGATCAAGAATGCCTAGTCAATTGGATGAGCATACATGATAGTCAGTTTCTAAATATTGAGAGATCCAAAGATGGCGATACAGCTGCAGATAATGACACCGATGATAGTGAAGACAAAGACAAAGACGATGAAGAATCCGATGATAGTGGCACTTGTAATGACTGTACAGATAGTAGAGAAAATGTCAAGAACTTGCATATCAAAAAGGAAATCAAAGAACAAGTACTGAAAGAGGATCTTGGTGAAGCAAGTGATCTGCCATTCAGAAGACAGGGAAGTTCATTTTCACATAAAAAATCTGTAAAGGTGGCTTTTTGTCCAAAGGAAGTAAAGAAAATACTTGAATCAAAAGAGCTTTCACTGAAAAATGCTCAATCACATACTATAAGAAAAATCTTAGTTTTTTCACCTCTTGGTATAAGGCATGGATGTGAGGACATGTATGAATTAGACTTCAATCATTTTAGCATTTTACACAAGGGAGAACACTATACAGATTCAAAAAATCCGGGGGTATGCTACCTAATTTCTTGTACCTATGACTAAATGGTTCTGTTTTGGTTTTAAGTTCAACTGAACTAATATGATCTGTGTCAGGAGCATGTGTTATACGATAAACCTGGAGTTCGGAGGAAGATATTCTATGCCAACAAACAGAACTCAAACTTGTGTCCTGTTAGAATACTTGAAGAGGAGAAGGTCATGCGCCCCTCTGATCCTAGCTGCCCGTCGTGCTTATTCCTATGCATCAAATATGGAGGAAAGACAAGAAATCTTCCTCAAAATGAGTAAGCACTGCTTAGTTACTTGATCTCGTATGCTTTGTTGAAATAGTACATAGAGTTTATGTTTTGTGTACTAACGCGGTAAAGAACTTGTACACTATTAGGTTTAGTTGATCTACGACATCAGGTAACTCTTCATATCAGGCATTGATATAGTAACCAGTTAAATTGCACTGATAGTATAAAAATTCTTTACACTGTCAACGTATATAATAGTTAAACTACAAAGTGAGCAGAAAATTGGTTATAGCTAACTTACAATTGATGCATTGTAATTCCAGATACGTCAGGCAGCGAATGGGAAGAAACAAGCTAAAATCTTTTGGGCCGGTCATATGTGGGATGGCAATGCTAGTCCATATTCGCAGCGGAAGCTTCTTCTTTAAGGCCTTGGGAATTACACTTCTTTTCATGGCTGGCTTTCCTAATGACCTGGTTCAAAGGGAAACCAAATATAAGAACTTGGACCTCCTACAAAAGTATTACAGGTATTCTGCATTGCATGTTTTTTTTGTATATTTTCAAGTAGCCTATAACGCGTTTATGTAAAAAGAGTTTTAAATCATCTCCACATTTGCAGGACAGATGAGGATGCAGAAAGAGAGGAGTTATTTCTATCACATACTCAAACTGATACTATTGTAAGATCTGCAACTCATTGTCATTTCTTCAATATATGTGGTAACTCTGCTGCAAAGCAAAACTCAATACATCAAATTACTACTCTCATTCCAGTTTATGTGAACCTTTTCGCTTTTTGAAGTCAATTTGACTAATTTTTGAAACTAAATTGCATTAGATTAACTCGATATTTTAAAGTTAAAGTTTGGATATTCAAAAACTATATGAAAAGTACTATAAGTTACAATTCTTCTGATGAAAACATGCATTTCGAAATGTTGGTCAAAGTTTACACAGTTTGAATCTTGAAAAGCAAAAAGGTTCACATAAACTGGAACAAAGCGGGAGTAGAATTATTTTTGCCTTAATGTATCTTAAGTCATGTTTCTGTGACAAGATATTGCTAGGCAAGATATGTATTGTTTGTGACTTTAAGTTAATCCTCACCTGTCAATTTCCTTTAGTTTTGAGCTTAACTTTCACATTTTAGACTAAACACCTTCTAATTCTGTTAAAGAGGTTTCTTCTGATGGAATTATTCATGTTATTCCAGAATATTAGTCCCAATTCTCAACAGGGGAAGAAAGTATCAACGAAAAGGAAAAGCAAGAGAGAAACAATCTCTAAGAAGAAAACTTCAGAAAAAGCGACAATTATACATTCTGAACCTTCATGTTCTGCATCTCCTGCGCCGTTTGGATTAATGAATTACGCCTCAACTTCAAGTCAGATGAATATATCAATACCATCATCTCAAGCACAAGCAAATATGCCAAAACCTGTAATGGCTAATACCGCGTCCAATATTCCCTACCATAACCAATGTGCATATCCTGTTTTCCCGACGTATCCACCAAATTCTGTTCTGCCTTTAGTATATTGGCCTCAACTTAATGCATTCCCTCCCTGCCCTTACCCCTCTTCTTATAGATATATTGCACCTGGAAGCTGCATTTCGGTCAATCCATATTCGTACTATGGTCATTTGTATAGTAACCCTTTGAATCCAGAAACTTTAAGGACAGAGAAGCAAAATGGAAGATCAGATGATGCTGAAAGGGAGTCCAATAGTATTACAAGCAGCACAGATTCCAGAGAGAAGTAAACAAACTTCTAGTGTCCAAGGTCATATTTTTGTCACGACCCAAGCCCCTTCTTCAGAAGCTTGCTAACCTAGAAGTCTTGTCAATCCTGCTTGACTCACCCTCATCGGCCAGCCCTCCATCAGAGGCATCACATTTTCTCCTTGGTATAATGATGTTTGGTAGCAGGAATTTGTAGCCAAAACTCAGTGAGTAGCTTATTTTCAAGTTTTGAATCAGGGCTTTAGCCTTTGGGGGTGAAACAATGTGCATAATGATCATAAAAGCTTCACAGTTTTCTGATGCTACTGTGTGCATTTACTGACGGTTAAGGAATGATCCTTGGGCCTAACTCAACCTCATAAGCTAACTCATGAGACGAGAACTGTCTAAGACCATATAACAAGACGACCCATTTTTCAACCAATGTGGAAGTTCTCCATAGAATATATTTTCATCAGAAAATGTCCTACCGGATAATCATTTTTCCACTTTGGTTTGTATTAAAGTAGGGACTTACTGTAACAAGATGGAAGATAGGATAATTTGGCTAAACCCACTTGCATCAGGGAAAAAAACGATTTTGGAACACACACACACAAAAAAAAAAAAAAAAATCCGCCGGCTAACATTTTAGTTAGCATCAATTTTAACTGAAGAAACAGTTTAGTAGATCCAATAGTTAGATAGCTTAGCTAGTCCCCTGGTTAAGATTAGTTACTGATCTTTTTGTATAGTACATGTATTTACCTACCATTTACAGAGAAGAATCAAATAATTTGCTAGCTAACTCTTCTTGCCCCTTTTCACTTCCCGCTACGTCCTCTCATGATCTTCAGTCTTCCCTGAGCTGGACAAAGAATTCTTGAGCTTACTCAGTAGCTCCTGAAGTTTTGGCACCAAATTTTGCCCAGAATGATAAACTGGGTTTATCTGAACCGGTACTTCAGCTTCAACCTCAGTATCATCATAAGCATGTGAATCACCAAATAGTTGGGAAGATGCTTGTCCAGAATCACAAATCTGGTCATCTTCAGGGCAGCCCTCTAAGCGCTGAGAAAACACTTTTTCAGAGTAGTTTGGTGTCGCAGTACTAATTTGGCCATCTGCCGATGTGGGTTGAGAAGATGATTGCACAGAAGATGATAGAGAAGCATTGCAAATGATGGCATCTGGACCAACTTCTGTCCGCTCGGGTAACTGGCAAACACGCTTAAGTTTTCGCTGTTGTTGGGACTCATGTACAATAACACCCTCTGTAGCTGAGGCAAGACGTTTTTTCATGACAGCTTTTTGCACTTGAGAAATCGGAGCACATAGAGTTCCTTCATCTCTGTCGTCAACTTGAGACTTAGTAGTGAAGCCGGAGTGTTGGTTTGGGATCCTTAGGTCTGCCATCTGCCTTCGAAGCTTTGCAATACGAGCTCTAAGGTGGTCAGGTGAGTATTCTGATTGAAGGTTGTGCCACAATATGCGTTTTACTGCAGCTATCAATGCAGATATTTCACAATTTATAGCTTTTTCCTGGGAGCAAATTTGGTACATCATGAGCACAGAACTAAATTTTATAGTTCAAGAGATAAAAGAGATGAGTACTTACTTGGGCTTCACGAGAACCGAGTCCATTATCATGTATTTTCTTGGCTAGCTCTTCTGAGTATAGCACGAAGTCTTTAAGAAGGGGCACAGGTGGAAACAAGTCAACAAGTTCATATACATAGATGTATCTAATAGCCAGCAGCCATTGTTTTCTCCTTATCAGATTTTCGATAAAGCCTATAAAAGTATATTTATATACATGAGAACTCAGTTGTACAAAATGGTTTATGATATCACATATAAGATAATCTCCCCACATAATTTAAGTGTCGGGTAGAATTAAATGGAAATAAATTACAAAAAAAAAAAAAAAAACTCAGTATAATCCCACAAGTGGGGTATGGGGAGGGTAGAGTATTTCCAGACCTAAAGGTAGAGAGGTTGTTTCCGATAGACATCCGGCTCAAGGAAAGATGAAAAGAAAGCAATAGCAACAAGCAATAACAACAACAGAATAATATGAAAACGTAGCGAAAAGAACATGTAACAGAAATCTAACAATAAAAGAATACAAGACTAGCACTAATACTACTGGTATGGGAAAGCAACACTCTCGACTACCTACCAGCCTTCTATCTTAATTCTCGATCTCCACACCTTCCTATCATTCGGTAAGCTGAAGCAACGTCATATCATGCCTAATCACCTCTCCCCAATGCTTCTTTGGCCTACCTCTACCTCTCTTCATATCCACCAAGGTCAACATATCTCACACCTACTCAGAGTCCTTACTGGGGCGAAATGGTAATAAATTACATCCTATAAAATATTGAAAGATTTCCAACTAATTAAGACTCTTTGAAAAAAAGAAAAAAAAAAAGGCAGCCCGGTGCACTAAGCCTATGCGCAGGGTCCAGGGAAGGGCCGGACCACAAGGGTCTATCGTACGCAGCCTTACCCTGTATTTCTGCAAGAGGCTGTTTCCACGGCTCGAACCCGTGACCTCCTGGTCACATGGTAGCAACTTTACCAGTTACGCCAAGGCTCCCCTTCAAATTAAGACTCTTCGAGAACGAACACAATATGATCAAACTATTTACCATAGAGAACATATCCAAAAGGCCATAAGAATATGAACTGGTTGACCAAAATATAATAGTAATGCGTGAGAGAGCTGAATAAAGTTGAAATGAAAACCAACATATAACCAGTAGCTGTTATCATACTTGGTCTGTATGTGCATATGCATGAGAGAGAGAGAGAGAGAGAGAGAGAGAGAGAGAGAGAGAGAGAGAGAGAGAGAGAGAGA